TGTTAGTATCTAGCCTTTACTATTCGAGTAGAGGTCTGTTTGGGGTTCGATTTTTGCCCGACCTCGCAATTTAACCGGTTTTAAATAAATAAATAAATACGGTAGAACCTCGATAAATTAATAACCTCCTTTAAATAATAGTTAATTACAGCCCGACTCGGTAAAAACGTACTAAATTATTGGTTCGAGAGATTATTATTTCGCCAAATTAATAAAATTTTGATTTGATTTTCAAGATCATATTTTTATCGAAACTTATTTCAAAGATAAACTAAGAAGCCAAAAAAATTTATAATATGACCAAAATACCCTTGACAGAAAGGATAAAAAGACTGACCTTGCCCTTCTGTTCTGAAACCAAACCTCCACTTGTCTAGCCCTCAGATTTAGTTGTTTCGCCAAAGCCATTTTTTGCTTCTGTAAAAAACAAAACAAACAAAACCAAACACGCCGTTAAGCATACACACAGATATGGTTAATTACAAAAAAGCCCCTGGCCAATCAACTTATTATCGGAAATGACACTCACCGGATTCAGGGTATTGTGCTCCTTGAAGGTCTCCTCGAGAACAGCCGCCTGCTCCTTGGAGAGGCGGAGCTTCTTCCTCGCCGCCGCGTCACCGCCGTCGCCGCCGTCGTCGTCGAGGTCGAGGGACTCGCCGTCGTTGTCCTCCCTCTCGCTCCTCTTCCCGCTCAAGCTCGACACCGTGCTGTTCGGGGAAGAAACCATCACCTCTTCGTCGCAGTCGATAACCGAAACCGCCCGAATATTCATATCGATCCCTCTGAACAACGACGATCTCGCCTCCGCATTCCGATCTGTATATATAATCACACACATCAAATAATTCTCTCAATCAATTAACAAAACCCATTAAAAAAAATTATAAAAAGCATGCATGGATCTTGTGAACAAGAAAAAAAAAATATTACCAGTGGAGGAGGGGTGAAATGCATCACTGCTTGAAGAAACATGCTGCTGCATAAATGGCAGAGGAGACCTGAAAAAATTTAACGGAAAACGGGTCGCCGCCGTTGGCGGCGGCGGCGGCGTCGCCGCCGGAGAGGGGTGGTGATTTTGAATCTGATTATTATCCGGGCATCCTAAGCTCAAACTCAACCCTAACCCATCATCTTTTTCAGCCATCTTCTTAATTAATTAATTCACACAAAGTAACACTTCTCTCTCTATAACTATAAAAACTTTCTCTCTCTAGAATTCAGACAAGAGTGAGTTTATCTCTCTATGAATTATATAGAGAAGAAAGGTGGGGGTGGGGGTGGGGGTGGGGGGACAGAATGAGGAGAAATGGGCTGGTCTTTTTATTTATTTATTTATTTTTTTTGACTGCAGAGCTAGTGATTAATTATAGGTCAGGAGCTATATAGATGTGTGTGTATAGGTGTATGTATAGGATGTATGTATATATAGATACAATGCAGATGTTCAATGATGACTTGTGTCAGATGTAGCTATTGGCTCAATCATAATGATGGGATTTGGCTTTTGATATTTCTCTCTTTTTTTTCAGTCAGCTTTTCTTTTTTTGCTTTTTCGCATTAGACTTTTTACTGACCCTGGTTTGAAAATTCTCAACCCTGGTTAGTTCACTTCTCTTTTAAATTGGTAAATTACGACCATCCCTAATGTCAAATTACGTTACACCCCCTCAATTATGTATTCACATAGGGAAAAATCCATTATGTTGATAAATTAGGGGCGTTTATTTGGTAGGCAAAAATTGTACAAAAATTGCGGGATACATATATAATTTTATACCGTTTAGCGCTTGGTTCTACAAATAATCGAATTATCAATTTTTTTATTAAAAAAATTGATTTTTTAAAATAAATTTTCGTTGAAATACTAATATTACATATATAAGTATAAAAAACAAAAAAACTGAATACTATTACGAATTAACGATTATGTAATCGACATGTACGAATTTTCATTCGATTTGATTTCATCGGTTTTACAACCGAATGAACATTCCTAAGAAAATTTGACATTGTAAAAGTAGATATGTAAAATAACATATAATTGAGAGGCGATTGTAATTACTGTAGTAAGACAATAATTTACACTTTTTAAATTTCAATCCAAACATGGCCTTAAAGCCTAAGAAGTAGAGGGGGTTACTTTATGTTTTCAACTCTTGGTTAAGTCAAATCTTTGCTTTTTTTTTTTTTTCAACTGTAACACCACCTCATTAAAAAGGGGGCCTTTTTCTGGGGTTGACCATTGACCCATTTCAGGGTATGATTTTTCTCGTGAGTATCAGTTTCCAAAATCCCACGCGCTCCTTTTTCAAGCGCGGGAGCGTGTGAGAAAAGGCGAAGACTTAAAAAAAAGCTCCCGGCCCCACTTCACGGAACAAGCGTGTGGTGCACGTGGTTTTGGCTTTTTATATTGGGATCCAAGGTTCTCTTGTCTCTGTCTTTTTTCTTTTTCTTTTTTTTTTTTTTTGATTTGTTTTAAATTAATTAATTAATTTTAGTACATTAATCATAGTATAGTTTCGAATTAATTAGGGGAGTTAATTAATAATTAATTGTCATATGTTACGACTTAACAAAAGCCTTTGGCTTGTGGATGGGAAACCGACCTTGTTGTATTATCACTTGGGGAACAACTAAGCAAACAAAATTAATGATGTTATTAATTATTTAATAAGTTAATTATGTGAATTATTTATAAATTTAATATGGGGGTTACGAGTATTTAGTAAAGTTTGAGTGAAATTGCAGTTCTTTGCTGTGACACCTATTAATTATGCTAAGATTAGCCAAAAAAAAAGATCAACAAAAATGTCAATATATAGCTCAAACATTAATTAATAATAATGTTGCCTATTTGGTTAAGTCAATGTATTTTGTAAGCCTATGTTGTTAATAAAATTAAAGTCAACTTGATTAAGGTCCAACTTAGCCAGTCTAGGTATTAATTTATTATTATTTATGAGTATGTGGTCAACTGTTGAACAAGTCAAAATTAATAACTTAAGATCGACTTATAACAGTTAATTTTTTTTTTTTTATGAATTTGAAACATTTGAAAATATTCTGATAATCTAATTGTTTGATTTCTTAATTTCTGTGTTTTTTACTTGAAACGACACTTATTTTGAAACTACGAAATATATTTTCATTAAAAAAATGTATTTCATATAAATAATTTGTCGAAATCTGAAGTTCAAAAACGAAAATCCTTAATGGAAGTCATAAGCTGAAGTTTAGTCTGCGAGATGAACACGTAGATTTAATCGGAGGTTGATCAAGTTGAAACTATTCTTGACGGTCAAATCGGTTGATAATTTATTTATAATTAAATTAGTAGAATTCTTGTTAGTGTTTAACTCTAAGTAAGGATTAAGAACTCTAATTGACTTATATTTGCAGCCAAGAGCCGAGCCAAGTTGGCGGGCGGCTAAGCTTCAAGTGGGGTGGGGGAGGGCAAATGGGGAATAAGAATAAGGGGAGGGGGTCACGTGGGGGAGAAGCGTGGGTTCACGTGCATATGCCAGCCCACGTGGCAGCACGTGGGGCCAGGACCAAGACGCTCGTGCGTGACACCTTTGTCGCTCTCCTTTCCGACACGCACTTTGCCTACAATCATTGGATACTCTCATCTCCACCATCTCTCTCTCTCTCTGCTTCTCATCATCTTCACCAACGCGCCTCATCGGCGTTTTTGGCTACACACGCGCTTTATTGGGAAGTTGTTTATACGTACTTGTAAGAATTTTTTATCATTAAAATGAAAAATGAAATTAACTTAGGAACATAAAATAAGATTGTTGATACTATCGGTATATATAAATGATACGGATTTGATTAAATTGAATGATGATTATATCACATACTTGGAGTAATTAATGTGGAATACTAAGCGTCATTTTACTGCACACGTAGATGATAATGAATCCGTAATCACGTAGAGAACGAGAACCGTCGTACACCGAAGTCTTTCACTGAAGTCATAAGTCAGCTAGATCAGCCCATATAACTAAGTCGGGTGTTGATCTGAAATCCATCTGGCGGTCAAATCAGTTGTTATGCACAACGAATTCAGTAAATCTCGGAATACCCAAGCGAATAAAAAGTAAGAGCTACATGAGTTATATATAGTCAATTTATGGGAATTCTTATTAGAGGGAAACTCTAATCTTGATTAATAACTCTAATTGGTTTATGGTCTTAAACTAACGAGACTGAGTCATTAACTTATTTATCTGTAGATAAGTTGTATTCCGGCCGGCTCAATGAGGTATATCTATCGATTTGGCTTAGTTCTCTTTTCATTAATTACTCTTCCATTAGAAGAATAAAAATAATTAAACCAAAATGCAATATTTTAATTTTTAACGAAGATTCATATTACTGCAATTTTTATTTTTTTCTTGTTACGAAGAAACCCGCAACCAACCATACAAGAGATTTAAACCACATTAGGCATGTGACAAGCTCAATCTAACGACCGTTGGGAAATCAAACATTGGTCAATTGACACATGCTTATTTGCTCGAATCGCTAAGCACACAAAACTAACAATTAATAAATAAATAAACTAATTTAAGTGGTAATTGACAAGAAAGTTCCCACACGTGTGGGTACAAGTTGTCCCCATGTGTTTGGTTTCAAAATTAGTGTTGCGTCTGACAATTTAAATTCCTTAATAACATATAAACACATCATAATTCACATGTACATGCATGGTGACTCATTGATAGCTCATAATACAGTACTTTTAATCATATCTTTTTATAGGTTCTTGAAGAAAAAAAAAATATTGTATATTTGCATTATGGCCGGTTATTTTGAGCATAATTTGAAATTATTTTATACTTCTTTTTAATTATTTATTTGGGAGTTCGGAGAAGTCATTGATCATATATATATATAATAAAATTATTATTAAGCTGCCGAAAAACAAATAAGATAAAAAAAAAAAGAGTACATCTAGCCAGATTTTTATTTAACATTTTATAATTAGTAAAAATAGCTTATAAGCTTATTATAAAAATATTTTAGAAATTAATTCTAAAAATAAGATGTAACTATAGATTTAATTAGAATAATTATATAAAATCATTATCAATTACTAAATTTTTTTTTAAAAAAGAGAAAGAAGAATAAAGTGAAAAATACTATGCATATTCCTTAACAAGTTAAGTTATCCACATAAATGATTGAAAAAGATGGGGGGTATATTTATAAAAAGGAATAAATGCAGGGGCATAAGTGGGGACTATAGGAAGTGGTGATCACGTGGGTAAATAAAATAACTCAGCAAAAAGAAGTTTTGTCAGCACTGTTCACGTGCGGTGGGGCTTTAATTTGTCCTCTTGCTTTTATCTATTTTTTTCTTTTCATGTGACCTTTTTCTTTTCTTTTCTTTTTTTTTTTAATTAAAAAAATACATAATTTACAGCAATAAACATTATAAGGAATAATAATATTTTAAATAAAAAATAATAATGGTCCCAATTATTTGTATTGTCTTATTTCCCCCACATCCACAAATCAATCCTTTTCCAATGATTGGATTATATTATACCCCCCACACTAATAATTACCTAACAATTAAAATAATTATAAAGTATAAACCAATAGATTTTTTTATTATTTTTTTTAGTTTTCATTAAAAATAATCATTACATGCATTATTCGTAGTTTATATGGTTGTCTAACTTCCATTATTAAAATTTTAATTAACCGAAACTAAATCAATAAAGAAATAATAATGTGTATACATATTAGGGTAAATTACGGTCATTATGAGGTTATGTCAAATTACGAAAAAGTCCATCATGTTTGTATAATTACGATCACCATCTTACACGTCCACCGTTGTAGTATCGAATTTAACATAATCTTCTAGAGTCTGTGGAATATTCTCTAGTTTGTACTCGTTTTGTGCAAAAAATGCAGTCTCTCATGCACGTCAATCTGGTATTACAAGCCAAAAGACACATTTTATTCATCTTGTTTCAAAATGTGGAGCTCGAATGGTGCAAAACGAGTACAAACTGGAAAAAAATTCACTTAATTTGACACCGCAAGGATGGATGTGCAAGAAGATTCAAAGTTGGGGATAGTTGTAATTACCCAAACATGAGGGAATTTTTTGTAATTTGACCTTAACTAAGGGGTACCTTAATTTACCTTAAAAATTATGAAAAAAGTAAACTTTTTTCAATTTTCTTTTCCTTTATGGAAAATTCAAAATGTGCATGGACCACAAATAAATAAATAGAAAATGATTAAAAATGATTGAAGTGTACAAGACGAAGGGGTGGAAAGGGAAATACGGAAGAAACCAATGGTTATTAAAGAAATGATGGGATTTCAAATCCTCAGGGGCGTAATTGTAAATAGTATAATTGCCAAACAAGGACATATATTCGCAATCATTACAATTTGTGGTCCCCACAAACTCCCAGAGTTCCCATATTTCCCCTATTTATCTTATCTCTGTCGCTTTTTACATGCATCGCTATCTCATTTAATGAAAAAACCTTTCAAAGCTAAATTCAAAAAGTAAATTAATTTTTTTTTTTTTGGGTTGATCAATAAAAGTAAAAAGTAAAAAGTAAAACAAACTTTTTATTTATGTATATTTTCTATGAAGTGAAAATGGAACTGATCCGATCGAAATTAGTACTTCAGAAAATATATATTTTCGCTAGTGAAAAAGATATTCGAAATTTCGTTCTAATTTATGCGAAAAAAAATGTTTTACAATTATAATTTTCAGATCGAAATCGCCGGAATTCAGTTTGATTTTTATAATCACTTATATATAAAATAATAATACAAATAAAACTAAAAATATAATAATATTAATTAATTAATAAGAACAATATTGAATATAATCGAAATAATATCAGAAATAATCATTAAAAAATCCAAAAAGTATCCGAACTATTTCGGACCGTAATTCAAAAATTTCAAAAAGTATTTCCGATTCCCATTCGATTTTTATCGGAAATAAGAATTTAAAAAAAAATCGTTCAAAAATCGGAATTCGCGGGATCGGATTCGGATTTCCACCCCTAGGTGGGGGTGGGAGTGGGGGCGGGATCACGTGAAGACAGCAAAGGTTCGGGGCTTGGGTACAAATACAATTAAGGTAGGGTGCACCGATGGGACTGTTTGGGAAGTTGCAAATGGGCTTCCTTTTAAATAATTGCGGGGTCACAATTATTTATTATTTGCTTTTTTTACCCCTATTTGGATAGTACATTGAACACATAAATATTAAAAAAATAATTCATAATATATACGACATAAAATAAAAAAAAATACAATATTATTGAAATACTATTGTTATTAAATGCTTCTCGATTTTCATTAGTACTTAAGGGTGATATAGGGTAAAATTAAAAAGTGAAAGTAAAATTATTTCATCATTTCAAATCTCAAGTAGCGAATGATTTTGGACAAATTTTGATTTTTAATTTAGTCCCTTTTTTTCATATATAAAATTGGAATATATTTATATTGGTATTATTAAATCAGAATCGAAATCAATTACTCCCTCTGTTCCAAAATATCTGTCACTTTTAACAAATTTTTTTGTTCCACAATATATGTCACTTTAGATTTCCAATACTGCATTAATTATGTAATTATCAATTTTACCCTTACTAACTATCTCCAACAATCTCACATTAATTATTGGCAAGGGCATTTTAGTATTAAAACATATATTTTTCTAGAATTAAGCAACATTTATTGAGATCCTTAATCCTTGTGCATAAGCTAAAAACGACAATTATAAAGGAACGGAGGAAGTATGAAATTGCGAGAAAAAAAAAAAATCAGAAATATTTCGAAAAATGTCAAACCCGATCCGATCCGATCCAGCCAATTTCCACCCCTACCCCTAACAAAATCTCATCCCATTCTTAATTTCGTACTTTACTAATTCTACAAAACTCTATGGTTATGATTGCTCTTTAATTAGACATCTAAATAAATAAATTAATTAATTAATTAAAAAAAGAAAATAAAAGTGGGATTGATTGCACCTGGAGAACAGCAACGTATGCACGTGTGATGTTTGTTGAAATAGGGTCAAACATAGCAGATACATCTCAAAACCTCAATCATTGCTTGCAATGAACAAAATAATAAAAAAAGTAATAATAAATAAGTGAATTAAATAATGAATCCCAAATAATAATGAATAATCCGTACTATAGAAAGACGTGTTCCAGCCTCGCAAAAAATAATGAATAATCGAGGGAGGGTTTGAATATTCCTAGAATTATTTAGTCAATTAAGAAAAAATAATTAAAAACAATCAAGATTGGTTCTTAAGATGAATTAATTGATTTATATTAGATTGCACGAGCGGGCCATTGGATTCCGTGGGGTTCTTAAGTTGGCATTAGTGGAAATAAAAACATGTGCCCCACTTGTCTTCTAAGAATAAAAGATTACTAGGTTATTACATGCTTACACACATATATATCCATATGGATGTTCTCCTGAGATAAGGTCTATAATTGCGTCTATCCCCGGCAATTTGCAGATTTCTTACATCAACGCCTTCTTATGAGGGTCTGATTTTGAATGTAAGAAATTTACAAACTGCAAGAGACCAAATGATATTTCTCAAAAAGTAAGGATTATTTTAGTAAATAGACTTTACGGGAGGTGATCGTAATTTACCCTAATATATTTCATCAGATGTAAAAACTATATAACCATTGTTCTTGGATATGGACTTATGAAAAGGGGAGGCCACATGTTTTAGCTTTAGCCTATGGTTTTAAGTAAGGGTGAAATTTACAAAAGGGCCACTGTGTGTATTGAAAATTTGAGCCCAGCCCATATATACTAAGTTAGTCAGCCCACCCAGTTTTAGCACATGGCACGACACATACAAACATTTATCCCTGCAAATATACATGGGTAAATTACAACCACTCCTGAGGTATGGTTAAATTACAAAACCCCCCTCACAACTACCTCTCAACTATTAATCTTTTTACACATCTACCCTTGCAGTTTCAAATTTAGTGGAATCTTCAAGATTATATGAAATTTTATCACTTTTGTACCAATTTTATCCCATTCGAACTCCACATTTTGAAGCAAGATGATCATCATATGTGTTTTTTGACTCATATATATCATATTGTGGTGCATCAGAAACTGCATTTTTACACAAAACGAGTACAAACTAGAGCACATTCCACGAAATCCAGATGATTAGATTGAATTTGACACCATAAGGGTGGAGATGTAAGAAAAAATCATAGTTGAAGGGGTAGATGTAATTATCCAAACAAGAGGGTTTTTTTTCGTAAATTGACCATACCTCAGAGGGTGTTTGTATTTTACCCAATATATAAATTTGCTGTAAATTCAAAGAGGTTGCAAGAGTTTTTTGCCATCGTTTCCTTTTTCTTCCTCGTCTTGTTTTGCACATTCACAGTGAAGTTATAAAGTTTAATGTGTCATTCGAGTTCTACCGAGAAAATGTCAAGTGACAAAAGAATAAAATATAAAAATGACAGTAAAAAAAAGAAGGTATTATAGGTTTAAAAAGCCAAATTTCTTCTACATGATAATACTTTGGTAGCAAGTGGATTTGGTGGTAGAATTAATTAATTGGTTAATTAATAGGTTTATTAAATATGCTGAGGTACACAAGCTCAAAAAACGGGAAGTCGATAATTATAAAACTATCCAGAGAGGAAAAATAATTACATACTTGTTTTTTCTGCAGTTAATAGGAGTGATGACCGTAGTAAGGAGGTCCTTGGTTTGTTGCAGTTGGTGGATACATTTGCGGAAGTGTCGGCATCATCCCCGTTTCTTGATTACTGCAATTTTTTTTTACAAAAAAAAATTATAAAAAAGCAAAGAAAACTAAATCGAAGACAAAAATTATATAACAATAATCTTTGAAAATATTATGAGAGATTTAATGTAGACCTGGTTGTGTAAAGGCCGTGGGCATGTCCGTAAGATTGGTATAGAGTATTCGACATATCAGGCCTGTACAAGTAAACCGTGAATTAGTAGTTTAAAAGTGAACTTCTTCACTAAACAGGCGTGCGAAGCAGTTATATATACATTGGCTGTGGAGTAGAATATTGTTGCAATTGAACAGAAGTTTGTGGTAGTTGTCCGCCTGCTTGTCTCATTAATTCAGCATACACGTATTCATCGACCCGTAGTTTGGCAAGGGCAACCTAATTGACACAGCATTGGCATCAAGAATGTCAAAAAGATAATATTATCATACACATTTAAATGATTGTCTACCACGAATACTGATACGACGTTGGAATTGTTTCATCAAAATAAGAAAACATTAGTTTTGATCTAATCATTTAAATGTGTATTCTAATATAAATATTATATAATTTGACGTGTTATATTTTCCGCTCTAAAAGGGCAAGTCCCCCTTTGTGAATATAATTTATTCTCTCGTTAGTCACCAGATTTGGCATCGTCCAAAAATTTGCTCCAAATTTCACTAAAAAAAATTGGGTAAATTACGGCCAACCCCCGAGATAAGGTCAAATTACGAAAAAAAAAACCCTCTTGTTTGAGTATTTACAACCATCCCTTCAACAATGAATCTTCTTATACGTCCACCCTTGAGGTGTCAAATTTAGTGGAATCTTCTAGATTATGTGATATATTCTCTAGTTTGTACCCGTTTTATCCCATTCGAGCTCCAAATTTTAAAACAAGATGATCACAAGATGTCTCTTGGCTTATAAATATCAGATTCTGTTGCATCAAAAACTACATTTTTGCATCAAACGAGTACAAACTAGAGAAAATTCCACGTAATCTAGAAGATTTCTGTTGAATTTGACACCATAAGGGTGAACGTGTAAGAAGATTCATAGTTGAGGGGTAGTTAAAATTACCCAAACGGGGGATTTTCGTAATTTGACTTTACCTCGGGAGGTGGCCATAATTTACCCAAAAAAATTGACAAGGAAAACAAAGTTTTACCTGTTGAGCACCACCACTTAAATGGATCTGCCTTTGTGTTTGCTCACCTCTCGCACCATGAACCTGCAGAAAGATTGTAAATGGAGGGAGAGGAAACAATTAACTTTTCATTTAATCAACTTATTCATACCAACTCCAATATGACAAAAAAAAATACCTTAATATTTGCGCCCGACTCATTTCTGATTCTCGAGATATTGGCACCAAATCTACCAATCAGCCCACCCACCAGATTCTCAGGAACCATAAGCTCCAGCGTTACGTAATCAGCTGCAAGATTGATTATCCTAAAGATGATGTCATCGTGAAATACATCAAAGATGTCGCGTAGCAGAATGGAGCACTAAATCCATTAGGCGACACAGAGAATTATTAACTACCTGAAGTAGGGTCCACCTGTTGTTGAGGTGGCCGATGAAAGCCAGTATTGTTTGTTGGGTTGACTGATATTACTTGTTTAGGTGGGTTATCCCTATTATTATTGCAAATAACATTAAAACGAGAAGAGATGCGGACTTGAGGAATACACACTGTTGCAAACCCAATAATGGTTTTACCTAAGTTGGCACCCGATTTCCACCACAGCCCTCAAAACTGCCGGAATATCTCCCGATATCTGCAAGAGTAACAACATTTAACATCTCTCGCAGGATGAAGAAACGAAGTATAATGAAAATTTGGTTGTAAGATGAAATCGCCTATGAGCTGACCTGGACAACTCGATCAGACTCGTGTGCAGATGCACATGGAGGGAGCTGATTAGGAGAGAGAACAGTAATAGCTGCCGCTGAGGTATTCCTCAATTTCACAATATTTTGACCTGAAGGCCCAATCAAACCACCGGCTTGCGAGCCAGCAATCAGAAGCCTCACCGTATTAGCTGGCACGTGTTCAGCCCCAACTTTCACCACCTCCACATTGCCATCATCGTCCTGTAGAGATAATTGGAAGACATAGCAGCCATGTTCATACTAAATATTAAACAACTATTAATTCTTACATGCAACTAGGTAAGGAAAAACCACAGTTAAAATGATCTCAAGCATAGTTTACAGTGGGAAGTTTCATATCCTTGATTCATTTGTCCAAGTTATACAAACCTAACAATACATTAAGCAAAACCCCATCCCCGATCGGAATACTGTTTTTATAATCAGTCAATCAGGAGGTTATGAAGAAATGCAATGCTAATCACAGAGGTTCTATAACCAAAAGCCATTAATTCTATAGGACTCAAAGACGAGCATCACGCTACCTTAAGCATCAGGCTAACGATTTGATGAAGTGCGTTTTCTGCGTCGGAAAAAATATTTTCATTGTCCTTTGAACTGATAATGATCACCCTTTCTTCATGGCGCTGTAACCAAAAAAAGGCCGACATTAGTTTCACTGCCGAATTCTGGATATCAACATCAGTTAATTGAACACAACACAGGAAATTCTGCAATAATGCCCGTTATATTAAGCAAATCAAAGCAAAGATGGCTTAGTTTCTGTCGGGACTATATATGGTAAACTACTCTCCACATATAAATCTAGTTAACAGAAATATAAAGCCTGAACCAATCAAGACCACCCCGTTGGATGATGGTCCACCATAATAGTATCCCTCCCAAGGTCCAACTATTTCATTTGGTTGGTTGGAGGGGGCTAAGCCCTAAAGTGATGGGATAAACACACACACACGCATATATATATATATACACACACATGCAGAAACCAACAGAGAAATGTGCCAGGTCTGTTAGCGACATAACAATGGCTCCGT